GCCGCCGCCGCCGCCACCGCCGCCGCCGCCGCCGGGGATCCGGTTACCTGCGCGGGTCGCCCCGCCCGGTCCCACCCCGCCCCGCAGGAAGCGCCTTCCGCCGGCGTGCTCGGGTTCCAAACTCCAGGGCGGCGACGAAAGTCCGTCTCAGTTATTTCCAGGGCAAAATGCTTTAGGAAAATCTCGGCTCTCGGCCCCTGACCCCACCCTGCAGGGCTCTCCGAGCGCCGCCAGGTCTCTGCGCGGGCCACACGGGAGCCGGAGGAAACTGCAACCCCCAATTCTAGTGACTGCCTCCGGGCACGGACTGCACACCGCTATAAATAATCTTTGGCCTGCGGCCACCCCGCGGGGTCTCGCCAGCCCGTGGCCAGGAGCCTGGAAATATTTATTCCGAAAGACTCCGGAGTGCGCGGTGGGGGTGGGAGGTTGGGAGGGGCAGAGGCCTTAATTTCAGATCCAAAGGTTCGGGATACCTTTTCGCTCCCAAAAGTCATTACTAAAAACAGTCTCCCGGGGGTGCCCCTGGGCCTCCAGCCTCCTCGCACATTTATTATCCTCTAGGCCCTACTTCCCAGTCCTTGTGCACGCTATGAAAAATAAAACCTGCGTGTGTGTCTGTGTACTGGAGGCAGGGGGAGCGGGGGTAGACGGGTGCGGGGTTGGGGTCGCAAGCCCCTGCTGGCCGACCCTCTGTGAGCCCTGAGAGAGGTCTCTCGTGTGGCTCCCGCAGGGTTCCGGCTTCCAGTCATCGAGGAGGGAGAAGTATGGCAACGTGTTCAAAACACACTTGCTCGGGCGGCCGCTGATCCGGGTGACCGGCGCGGAGAATGTGCGCAAGATCCTCATGGGCGAGCACCACCTCGTGAGCACGGAGTGGCCGCGCAGTACGCGCATGCTGCTGGGTCCCAACACGGTGGCCAACTCCATCGGCGACATCCACCGCAACAAGCGCAAGGTAAGAGCACCGACTTTCTGCATCCCTCTCAAGGTCAGGAGTTCCAAGAGCTGGGCAAACAACCCCAGGTAAGCCTGCGCTGTTTTGTGCACCCTCCGCAAGGACCCCGCATTTCCTTGCTTAGATGGCTGCCGGCCGGGATCCAGGACCACCCCAGGCTCCTTCTGGTCCGGTTTCGCTAGCCGTCTGCGCAGTGGCGCTCCCAGGCCCGATGGGACCTGTTTGGGAGTGGTTTGGGCAAAGTTTGACAGTATGGGAACTGGGGTGTCGAATTCTGATCCTCCCAGTGCTCTATAGAACTGGAAAAGAAAGGCTGGCGCGGGACAGTTGGCCCAGGCTTCCCTTTTCGCCACATTTCTCGGGGGGGAATTCCGAGGACTAATCATTCTAAAAGCTAAGCTGGCCTTTCAGCCACAGGTTGCTTTCAGGGCCACGCAGACACGTGCTGGGGGAGCTGGGGGCACCATGTGGACAGGTTTGGCGAGCCTTGCCTTGGAGAGGTACCCGCACGCACCGACAGGACAGTGGGGCAAGGGCGAAGGGTGGGCGAGCAGCCCAGGCGCGGGCGGAGGATCAAAGCGCAGTTCACCCCTTAAAGAGGAAGAGAAAGTGGGTGTTTATCCTGTGGATTTCCCGAGCGACTGGAAGAGGCGCGGAGGAGGCGAGCCAGTGAGCTGAGCCGGCTTCCCCGCCCCCTCCCGGCGCTGAGGCCGCCGCGGCCGGAGCGCGGGCGGCACGTGCTGTTTGAACTGCAGTAACCCGAAAGCTGAGCCTGCCGCGGGCGGGGTGCCGACCTGCGGGCTTGGAGCCGCCAGAAGGGAGGCTGCATGGCTTCCCCACTCCGTTTTTCCATTGGGTCAGAGGACTCACCCAGTTTGGAACCTATAGGAAAGGAAGCAGCGGCCTCTCAGCTCCTGAAGGGGAGGTGCAGTGCCGGGGGAGGGGAGGAGGCCCGGGCTGCCGCTGCGTGGGAAGTCTGTGCGAGGTGCTGTTGGCGCTGTACTCGCCGAAGCATCCCATAGTATTTGATGCCTACGAAGGGTAATTCTCGGTGGCAGACAAAAAAAAAAAAAAAAAATCGAAGAGTCTGGTGTGTGTGTCCCCCAGTAGAGCACGCGTTTCAGGAAGTTGAATGGGGCCCCCAAAGGCGTCTCTTCCATCTGCCTTGCTCAGAGCTGGAGCCAGTTAAAGCTGAGGGGGACAAATGGGGAAAGGTGTTCTGGGCAGTGGCTAGGAGGGCTTGTAAGTTTAGTAATAAGGGATTTTCATATATGGATGGTGATTTTCTCTTTAGTCGCTGGGACTCCACCAAAGACCCATTCAAACGAGTGAAGAAAGAACTGGGAATCAGGAACTCAGTGCCAAATGCCAAATGATATGACTGCTTCCTCATTTCCCCTTTACAGAGGCTTTGATGCAGAAGGGCACACTGAGGCTTAGACTGAGTGAGGCTTGGACCAGGCTAAGCAGTAAAGGCTGGGCACATTGTACAGCAGAAGTAGAAGCGTACTCCGTCCTGTGCACTGGGTTGGTGTGCTGGGAAGAAGGCAGCTTGGCCAGGACCAGAGTGTGAGATCCTAGGGGTGCAGCAGGCTTTAGAGTGAGAGACTATTGCCTTGCTTTCCCACCGTCTGCCTCACTTGCGCTCAGGCAGTCAGGTGCCAGGTGGAGAGGACCTGTCTGGAAAGGCATGAGTTTTTACCTGCACTGTCCATTTGGAGGTGAGGGGACAAGGAAGGAGGGGTCTCCAGAAGAACAGTGCTAGAGGAATGCATCGAACAGGAAGAGAGAAAAACCGGGATGGGACTGAGCCCAGAAACCGAGGACTGTGGTGAGGGATCCATGGTCTCCCTGTCTGAGTCCCTGATGCTCTAGCTCCTTGAGGGTGGAGAATCTCCAGAAGCCAGTTCACCCTCACAGAGTCTTGAGAACCCCACGTGTGAGCCCTCTTTGTGTGCGCTAGCTTTATGCTTGCTGTGTGGCGTGGGTGTGAGCCATATGTGTAGTTGGTCAAACAACAGAATCTTTTCCCTCAAATCTCCCCGACTGATGATCCCTGGCCCTGTTCCCTAAACTATATAGAAGGCCTTGGTTTAAATTCAAAGAAGCAGGAAACCCCATTCTTGCCCTCAAGAAGTAGCTTGTGGGAGGGATATGAACAGAATGTTGAAGGACCTCGTTCTGAATACTTCTGTTGTCCTGGAGAAATTGGCCAGTCTTCTGGACCCACAGCCTGGAGGGCACCCTATGGCCAGGGTGGTAGCTGCCAGGTACCACTCATGCTACCTTAACCAGCCCATGCTGCAGCCAGGGGTCTGGCTGGAGCGTGAGCTGCTGAGCTAGGGCCTGGCCCAGTTAGGATGTGCATGCAGGAAGTGGGGCCCAGGTGTGCTGGGGCCCAGGCTGGCAGGGAACTAGAAGCGTCACTGTTTCCATTGGGGCTGATGGCCCACCCCTTCTCTGGGAGGTCTGACCAGATGTGTAGGGAGGGAGCTCCTCGCTGCCATCACTGCACTTCCAGGTGTTTGCACTAGCTGCCCCGGTGGTCTGGGGCCAGCAGGGGTAGGGTTGCCAGGGAGAAGGCCCAAAAAGTCTCACCCAGTCTAACAGTATCTCCTATGGAAGCCAGGGCCTCAGACTCCCTCCCACATGGGCTGGGAAGGAGGCCATGGTGCCTCTCTAATGGGTACAGAGACTGGGGTATTGCCCCAGAAAGGCAGATGGAGTCTGGCTGGGCATGTGGGAGTAAGAACGTTGTCAGAGACTTGGAGAAGAAGTTGGGGGTAGTTCTGGAAGCCTCTGATGCCCTGTCCCACAAAACAGGATTGGACATTTTCTTGTTTTCTTTCTGGACCTGGGCACTAAGAGACAAACAGTTTCAGCACAGCCCCACAGTGGCCCTGAGATGCCCTCATGGAACCTGAGAGCATCTCAGGGATACATTCAGCCTTGGAGCTCCTCAGCCTTGGAGAACCCACGAGTAGTATTCTTGTCCTTTCTACCCAGGCCCCTGCTTAGAGGGCGCTTTGCACATGAAGCTGGGTGGGGCACCAGGTTTTGGAGGCATAGGGATTAAGCAGCCACCTCCTGCCTCTCACTGACTCGGCCTTTGGGCCTGGGCCAGGCGTGCGAGGGAGGTCAGGATCAGGATCAGTGAGCTCACTTCAGAAACCCAGCGCAACTGGGGCTTTATGTGGGGTTGGAAAGGCCAGGAGGTGGCTCTGACAGAGCCAGGATGCCCATGTTTGCAGGTCCTTGGGGAGGCCAGCCCACATCCCCACATCCGGCTCTGGGCACCAAGGCACAGTCTCTGGCCCCACAACCATGTCCAGCCTCAGTTGAGGGCAGAAACTCCAGCCTGATTTGGATAGGAAGGTAGTGCATGGCCAAGCAGTCCAGCGGCCGAGAGCTCTGCTCCAGATCCTGGCACAGTCACAGAAACTTTGTTCTGCAAGCTGGAGTCCTTCGCCCAAAAGTTACTGTAGCGCTAGCACCCGCTGTGGAGAGGATGCGAGGACGAGAGGCCAGAGCGGATCTCTCTGAAGGTCAGTGGGGGAGGAAGCTCACAGTCAGCCGCCAGAGTGTCTGGGAGTGGGCACCTCCCTCTTTATGCCCTTGTGCCAGGTAGTGGGAGGGTGGGCAGGCTGGGTAGAGGGGCCACCTTCTTCCTTTTTGTGTCTTTCTTCCTGGTGGGGAGGGATACAATGCTGTGGTGCTGACTGATGTGTTTGTTCACTCTCCCAACCTTGGAAGACACATGTGGCCTTGGTAGGGAGTAGGGAGGCTTGGCTGGGGTCTGCACTGGCACCCTGGGCCAGCTGCTATATCCATTCTGGGTTCCCCAGGCTTGAAGGAAGAGGCTCCAGGGGCCTGAGACCTGCTGAGAATGAAGAGCTGGCCTCACCCTTAGAATCAATTGGGCCATGGGGGAGGATCCCTTCAGGACTTGGATAGATTCAGCCCACCAGGACTGGTAGAGGGCAGCTCTTTGGAGTTCGGAGTGGTGGGAGGCCGGGGTATTGCTGGGTGTGGTCAGTTATGCCTGCACGGTGACTTCGGGGAAGACCTTTTCTCTTCTGAGCCTCAGCTTTGGTGGTAGTGGTGGGTTTCCTTGTGTTTGGAAGCAGGTAAAAGCAACTGGGTGAATCTTTTCCAATCAGGAGCTCAGCAGGTATTTGCAAGTGCTGCTGCTCCTCCTGCTGCCCCCACATGCTTTGCTTGTGTGTGGAAGAGTTAGAACAATCGGGTTAATGATCAGAGCTGGAATCAGTTGGGGGACAGGCACTGTGTTTCCCTAAGTGCAGGGAAGAAATGTGCACAGGTTGGGGAGGGGGATGTCTGGGCTGGCCTTTCCCTACCTGCGGGGCTTGGAGGAGACTGGCTCAGAGTGGGAGACTGGCGTAGAATGAAGCCAAGTCCCAGTGGAAATGCAGGCAGGCTGGAGGATGACGTGCTTTTGTCCCCTCCTTACTTAGTTTAAAGTACACACCTTGGCGTCACCCTGTGAGGACGGCTGCTCAGCGGCTGCCTGCCTTCTGTTATTTTTTCCACTCCACAGGCTGAGGCTCTGGTGGCTTGGCTGGGTGGCCTGCCCGGGTCCCCACCCCTCCTGGGCAGCCACTTCCATTCCTCCCAGTCTGAGTCACTGGCCAGCTGGGCAGTGGGCTCTCTCTCTGGCTCTGCCCACTCCTGCGGCCATCCATCCATTTGTCTACCCACCCACAGCGGACCATATGTGGGGAGAGGGTACTCTGGCTGCATGGAGCTGTGAGGGTTCACAGAGCAACCCGCTTTCCAAGGGCACTGGCAGGGAGGTGGGAGGGGTGAGGAGGCCTGGCTAGGACAGTTATAGGGAATTTAGGCCTTGACAGCCATGGGTGGTACCTGAGACCCTTGGGGTAGAATCAGCTTCTGTTAGGGAGGGAGGGAAAGAATCAGGGATATGGACTCTTGAACTTGTTTGGTTGGGGAAACTGGTGGAGGTTGGGGCATTATCGGGGTTATCCTCCCTCCAGCGCTTGTCCTTCCCTGCAGCTCCCACAGGTACCCTGGGATGGTAACTCACAGTCCACGGCCCCTCTCCACCCTCTGCACCTCGCAACAGCTCTGGTGCAAAGTCCATACCTGCGGCTCCTTCTGAAGGTCTTTGCCTGGCTCTGGACTGGTTCCCATTGACCTTTGTCCAGCATTCTTGGCTCACTTTTGGGAATTCCCAGGGAAGCCCCAGAGGGAAATCAAGCAGCCCTGGCTCATGTGAAGGCTGTGGTCAGGGCAGTCAGCTCTGGGGGCCGGAACCCTTCCTCTCTTCACACTGTGCTGCTCCTGGGCGTCTTCTCAGTGTGCCCGAGTCCTGACCTTTGCAGGCTGTGGCCTCAGACCCAGCCCTCCCTGACACAGCCCAGGCCTCCCTCTGCCCTGGCTGGCATCTCCGCCTCTGCCTGTCCTTTGTGGTGGGCGGTGGTTTCTGGGCTGCCCCGGTTTGGGAAGTGCCCATGTTGTTGGGCACAGACCCAGGGATGAAGCCTTGGAGTCTTCCCAGAGCCAGGGAGGCCTCAGTGCTTGTGGAACAGCTGGGCCAGAGGCAGGGGCATGGACTTGGTGACTTCTGGGCAAAGCCTGCCCAGGGCTGGACTGCCTGCCACTCACCTTACCTTGCCTTCGCATTTGGGTAGTTTTCCCTCCTTAGGGGGGCTCTGAGGAGAATCAGGGGACCGGCAGGTGGAAAAGAACCTTAGAGAGCCCTCATGAGGCCATGGAGAACCTGAGCCCCAGGGGTAGCCATCTGCTATCTGCCAGATCGCTAGGCAGAGGTGGGTCCAGACTAGAGCTCTGGTCCTGGCTTTAATTCTCCTTTCAAGTCCTGGTTGGTATAGGGTGGCAGCAGACTCCCGGTCTAGCGCAAGACCCCTTCTCACCTGAGGCCATGTGTGGATCCCTGCCTTGAAGTCCTTTGCCCAGTCCCAGGTCCCCTTGGGTTCTCTCTTCCTGGGTTGTCCCTGCCCTCTTGGGAGTGAGGAGTGATTCAGCCGGCTATCGCTAGAGGGCGCAAGGAATGTAACCTATAGGGCAGGCAAGGCTTGTCAGTGGTCCTGTTTGACCACTCCTCAGGGTACGGTGGAGGCTCTTAGGTGGCCCAGGTGGGACATGAAAGTGGGGCCTTCCAGGTTCTTCTCCAGGTGGCTTGAGTAGTGCTGGACTGGGCTTTTTGGAAGGGATTAACTTCTTCCAAGAGCAAGCAAGTATAGGGGTTTAGGTGCCTTGTGGGTTGCAAGGTGTCCAAGAGGTCACTTGGTTCAGCCTCACCATTTTACAGATAAGAAAACTGAGGCTCAGGGATGGTGAGTTGGCCACGGTCATATAATAAGTCCAACCTGGTTAAAACTCAAGTTTCTGGGCACCCAGTCTAACTTTCCTCTTGCTACACCCCAGCTAGTTTTGACTTTGGTTAGTGCTGGTGAGTATGACCTTGTCCTGTCCCCTTCCATATTTTTAGGCCTAGGTCTCCTGTGTGCTGGGGACCTAGCCGTTCCCTAGCCCTGTCCCCTCCATGAAGGTGCTCCTAGTGTATGCTGGGCCGGCCAGCTCGGGGCCAGCGTGGCCTCCTGTCCCGCTGACAGCCTCCCCACAGAGGCTGGTCACAGCAGTCATCCTTCTGCCTCCCTGACTTTTCCGCTCTGTGTCTGCGCAGCTCCTGTGTACCACTTTCTGCTTACCTACGGCCTCTTTTGTAAGGGCCTTAGTTACCAGTTCTGAGCTCTGGGAGCTGGGCCCGCCTTCACCAACAAACCCCCTTAACCAAAGACTCACCTGGAATCCTAAGGACACCAGCATGAAAAGCTGCAGCACACAGTTCTGCCTTTAACCATCACCCCTCACCCCACCTAAATTCCCTAAAGCCCCTGGAACGGGGCAAGGTGTGAGTTACCCATCTAGACCTGAGCTGACCTAGGTGACCTGCTATCATCCTTCTACCTTTCAGCTGTCCCTTTGTAGCAGGAGCGGCCCTGAACAGTGCGGGTCTCTCTGCTGCTCACTGGCCCCCCTCCCCCTCCCGCTGCCCACCGGGAATTTCGGAATGAAAGTGCTATTGTGCACGCCGGCCGGGCCACTGAAGGGCCAGGACTGTTATTTCTGCAAACCAGCCCTCCCATTAGCCATGCAGGGCCCAGGCCAGGAAAATGTTACCTTTTCCTCCTTGAGCTGACTGCAGGGGAAATTCTCACATTTACAGTTTGTGCAGTGGTTGTGTTTAGGGGGCAGGCGCGTGTGTGTGGTTTGCATGTGGCGGGTGGGGGCTCCTTCCTCTGCACTGACCTGCCCCTCGCCACCTTCCCAGACGACCTTTCCCTTGGTCTCATCTGTGGAGGGCACCCGCCTTCTGCCCTGGACCCTGGGGAGGTGGAGTTTGTTCGTTATAAGGGAGTCCCACAGGCTGTCTGTAAATAAACTAATATCCTCCTTCTCCTGTACGCTGAGGGCAGCAGCAGGAAAAACACACGCAGGGGCTGTGAAGAGGGGCTGCCCAGCCAGTCGGGAGGGCACAAGGCAGAGAGGTGGACACAGGGGGACTCCTCGGCTACCTAAGATGATCCTGGCAAATGCAGGGAATTCAAAGGGCTTCTGGAGGGTTTTGTGATCTTTTAGGGTGGAAAGTGATTTCCCCCAGCCCCTTGCCTCCAGACCTGGCCACATCAAAGACACTTCAATGGCCCAGCTGTCAATAAACGGACTGTCTATGCCCAGTGGTTGTTTCACAGGGTGTGAGAACAGTTTGGTTCCCAGGAAGTCCTGCTTGCCATCTAGCCTGAGGTTACTTTCGCCCTGTCACCATTGGAGGAGGACAGCCCCTCACTGTTTTCCCACTCTTCCCTGTCCTGGCACCTACCTGCGCCCCACTTCTCCTGTGAACTTCTGGCCCAGTGCCTGGGAATTGGGTAACGGGCCACTGCAATGGGAAGGGTAGCTTCCGTGCTCCTGCCCCATTCAGCTCCTCTTGTGCCCTGCCAAGGCTGGGCTCGCCACAGCCTCCCAGACTCGTTGGCAGCTGGACTGTGCAGTCCCCAAGGCTTTGCCATTGTTTGGGGTTATGCACACTTTTCTGGGGGCTGAAAAAGTAGATGACAGTTCAGGTTACCCTGTGAGTTATGTGGAAGGTCTCAGCTTTGAATAAAAATGCTTATGAGCTCTTTTCTATCTAATCTTGGTCTTCCCCGCCTTCCTGCCCAGATACACAGTAGAATGGGAGCTCAGAATAGGGGACCTACTACAAGGGCACTGTGTCTAGAGGACTTGAGAGCTCAGTGGAGGCAGTAAGCATGGAAGTGTCCCTGTTGCGATCATGGGTCTGTATCTCACCTGGGCAGAGTGGGGTCTGCATTGGTTTAGGAATCAAACCCAGCCTGCTTCTCTGCTCTCCAGATCTTCTCAAAGATCTTCAGCCATGAGGCCCTGGAGAGCTACCTGCCCAAGATTCAGCTGGTGATCCAGGACACACTCCGTGCCTGGAGCAGCCAGCCCGAGGCCATCAATGTGTACCAAGAGGCGCAGAAACTCACCTTCCGCATGGCCATCCGGGTGCTTCTGGGCTTCAGTATCCCTGAGGAGGACCTTGGGCACCTCTTTGAGGTCTACCAGCAATTTGTGGAGAATGTTTTTTCCCTGCCTGTCGACTTGCCCTTCAGTGGCTACCGGCGGGTGAGCTCCCAGGGCCTGGAAGGCAACCTGGGGGGAGGGTGCTGATCCCTGGGACACTGGGTGCACAGGCACATGGACAGAGGGGAGAGGTGTCAGCGGAAATGTGGGCTGGAGTCTTCCCTGACAGCCCTAAGCCCAGACGGGAGCCCTGCTTTTCCTCTGGCTATTGGCCCCTTCTCTCCGCAGGGCATTCAGGCACGGCAGACCCTGCAGAAGGGGCTGGAAAAGGCCATCAGAGAGAAGCTGCAGTGCACGCAGGGCAAGGACTACTCGGATGCGCTGGACATCCTCATCGAGAGCAGCAAGGAGCATGGGAAGGAGATGACCATGCAGGAGCTGAAGGTGGGAGGCTTCTCCAGCAGCAGCACATGCACTTACAGTCTGTTCTGGGGCTTCCCCTGGGTGGGAACGTGCCTGACCATTTCTACTCATCCTCATCTGGCTCTGCACGTGCTTCTGAGCAGGGCTGGCTGTTGCTGCACCCGGGCCGGAGGGTGGTGAACACAGCAGAGCCATGACCTTGCCCCTGCCGAGAGGATGTGCAGGGCCCACCCTGCCCTACCTCACTCGTGGGGTGAGCGGGTCCTGAGGGTGGCTGGGCACCATGCATCTGATCCTGCCAACAGTCGCAGCTACTGTTTTTGAGAAGATGCTAAAATTTGCCTTTACACCTCTGAACAGCCTCAGTGTCAATGCCTGTTGGCTCCTACCCACCTTGAACCCCTCCTCCTTGCAGAGTCACTACCTGCAGAAACGCAGGCCTAGTGGGGAAGCCACTTGCTAGAGGCCAGACAGCTCCAGGGAACACTGGGCCCTAACTTGGGCTCTAGCCCGCCCACTCCCAAGTGCTTGCACTTAGAGCTCTCTTGTGTCCCCGCTGCCTAAGCCTGGCTGGGCTGTGGTCACCTGGGCTGCCCGCCCTAGTCCCAGGCATGGCTTTCCCTGCCCTGCCTTGGGGATGTTCCGCTGAGGAGGGGCTCCTCAGTCCATGCTGAGGTGCTGCTCTCTCAGTCACTTGCTGGGCGCCCACAGGCACTGGAGACTCCCCATCCCCAGGGTCTTTGGATCTTTGCTTTTCCATTTTTTCCAGCTATAGCTTTTTTCCTGGAAAGCCAGGAAGAGGTTAGAGTGACTTTTTCATTTCACAAGAACTTTTGATGCCACGGCAAGTAAGGGACCCAGGGCTCTCCATGTACTTTCTGGACCCAGTGTCCACACCTGTAAAATGCAGCGCATGGACTGGGGTGACTTGCTGGACCCTTTCCATGGAGACCTATGGCCCAGTGACCTTCCCAGGAACCCCCTCTGGGACTACCTCCCTTTAGCCGTCTCACTGTAGTCTCTTCCCACACCCTCATGGCTACGGCTCCAGGCTTCCTCCAGCCTCTGTCTGTCCTTCTGACCACCTAACAGGAATCCTTCTCCTGAAGACTGGGAAAGCCAGGGATTAAGTCCTGTTATCCACCACACACACACACACACACACACACACACACACACGCATAGGTGCATGCACAGTGCCCAGCTCCTGCAATTGCCCTTTTTCTTCTGTGCGCTCCCTGCACTGACTAGGCCTGCTGCAGCGGGCCCAGCACCGGCAGTGAGTGAAAGGCAGCCCTATGCGAAGGAGCCAGCAGGCTTGTACTTCTGCCCTGCAGGGTGTTTCTTGCCCGGCAAGGGACTAGCTGTGATCCCTGCACCCATGCTGGGCCTGAAACTTCAGCAGCAAGAAACAGGCAGGGCTTAGGAGATGACCTTGGGGACACTGGCAGAATAGGGCTGTCACATTTGGCTGGCCCCAGATTGTCAACAGTGCCTCTCCTCTCCGCTGCTGCAGGATGGGACCCTGGAACTGATATTCGCGGCCTATGCCACCACGGCCAGCGCCAGCACCTCGCTCATCATGCAGCTGCTGAAGCACCCAGCTGTGCTGGAGAAGCTGCGGGAGGAGCTGCGGACCCAGGGCATCCTGCACAGTGGGGGGTGCCCCTGCGAGGGCACCCTGCGCCTGGACACGCTCAGCGGGCTGCGCTACCTGGACTGCGTTATCAAGGAGGTCATGCGCCTTTTTACACCCATTTCTGGCGGCTACCGCACTGTGCTGCAGACCTTCGAGCTCGATGTGAGGCTGGGTCCCACGGGGCTGGTTGAGGGGTGGCGCCTGGGTGCTGCCTGGGCTTTGGGATGACCTGTGGGAAAGATCCTGTGGGGCACCTCTGTCTGGCAGGGAGACGGTGGTTGATTTCAGGGACTTTCAGTCCTCTGGGAGAGATGCAGTACAGATGCAGAGTGGGATGGGCAGTCTGGGTGCCACATGTGACGTATATAAAACTGGACTAGCATGAGTGGGAAGGTGGCCAGGCCCAGGGAACCCCAGGGGCTCTCTCTAGGAAGAGGCAGGAAGGTAGGCAGTGCTCTCACCGCTCTGCTCCCCGACCCCCATCTTGCTCCAGGGTTTCCAGATCCCCAAAGGCTGGAGTGTCATGTACAGCATCCGGGATACCCATGACACGGCACCTGTGTTCAAAGACGTGAACGTGTTCGACCCTGACCGCTTCAGTCAGGCACGCAGCGAAGACAAAGATGGCCGCTTCCATTACCTCCCATTCGGCGGGGGCGTCCGGACCTGCCTGGGCAAGCACCTGGCCAAGCTCTTCCTGAAAGTGCTGGCGGTGGAGCTGGCCAGCACCAGCCGCTTTGAGCTGGCCACCCGGACCTTCCCCCGCATCACCTTGGTCCCTGTCCTGCACCCCGTGGATGGCCTCAGTGTCAAGTTCTTCGGCCTGGACTCCAACCAGAACAAGATTCTGCCAGAGACCGAGGCCATGTTGAGCGCCACCGTGTAGTAGTGGCTCTTGGCCGCACGGCCAGCCTCAGTCAGCCCACAAGGGGAGTGGGGGCAGTGGAGGTAGAAACCTGTGTGTGGGAGGGGACTGAACCAGGTAGGGCCAGTGGCCCCCATGCTCGCCCTACTCTGGTCTCCCTTCTTGGCAAACCCTACCCAACACCAAAAGGGCCCTGTCCCTTCCGGGGGTGGGACTCCCCTCCTGGCTCCTGCTCTCTCCAGCCTCTCCCCACTTCCCAGCAGCCTAGCTCTCGGGAAAGGCCTGGCCGGGCCCTGCATGCCGTTCCAGTGTTATGTGTCAGTGGGCTGTGCCTGAGTGTGTGCTCGTACCTTCCGACCCGGGCCCTTCCCTCCCTCGTCTCTTAGTTGGCAGTCAGGCGGTCCTGCTGGGGGAGGGAAGGAAGAGGCCCCCACAACCTTGGCACTTTCTTCAGCTCCCCGGCCCCTCCTGTCACTGCTCAGACAGTGCCCCTGGCGCTGTGGCTGCTGAAGAGCAGGGTCCTCGGTCACCCATCGCTAGTCAGCCTGGCTGTGCAGCGGCTTCCGTGGCCCGGAGGGCACCCCTGTCCAGCCCCGCCAGTTTGGACATTTGAAATTACCTATTGCTGCTACTTGTTCTCTCCTCTGAACGTGGGGCACAGGAGCCGCGGGCCTGTTCCCCATCCTACTCCCTGGTGGCCCTGGGCAGGTGCACTGACATCCCTACCTTTCCCCAAGATGGGGCTCCACTGAGCCAGGCCTTTCCCTGCTCTCCATACCCAGCCAAGGCCTTGGGCTCATGGGAACCTGTGCCTCACTAACCTTGGCCCCACTGAGGTCTGGAACAACATCTGCATCCCCCTAGCTCTGTCTCAGCTGTTCCTCGGCAGGACATCTGGGAGTGAAGAGGAAAGGGTCGCCGGTCAAACCCAGCCCCCTGGCCCCCTGGGCTGAGGGTTGAACAGCACTCCCCACCCCCAAGGGGATCCACACAGATTATTTGATTTAACCTCAGAGCCTCACTGCCCGACTACAGTCCAGTGTCTCTGCCTGTTGTTCCCTGCTGGAGATGGGAGAATGGCTCATTTTCCCCTCCCTGCCCTGTCAAAAGCTCTGATCGTGGGGATTTTAGAGGCTGACACAATTTCCAGCTTGGGGAAGGCCCCAGTGCCCCCTGCTCCACTAGTGAGTATGGAGAAGGATACGGGTTCTCTTCTGATGGGGCTCTAGAGCCTCTGTCTTCCTTTCCTAACCTTGTTCTCTGCCCTTAGCCCTTGGAAAGGTGTCGTTGGAGTCCCTTCCACTTCTATGCCACTATCTGCTTGAGCCCAGTGCTGGGGTGTGGGGAGGAGCTGAAAACAAAGGGAAGGCGAGGTAGAGGCAGTCTTTCCCCAGCGCTGACTCAGGCCTGTGTGGTCTGGAGACTGCGGGGAAGGCTGCAGCAAGCCGAGGAGGAGGGTAGGTGAGGTTTGTCAGAGTGATTTGGTGGCAGAAGGGCCAGTCGGGATGACTGGTTAAAAGAGAAGTAGCTCCCGCCTCTGACGTTTTCAGAGTTGGCAGTTTGGGACACCTCCTGGGAATGGTTTGGGGCTTTTGGTGAGTCTCTAAGCGATTTTGTCTGTTTTCAGATTTTTCTTTGCTTTCTGTGTTTCTCTGTTGGTTTTGGATGTTGTAATAGCAATGAATCCTTCTTTCAAGAAAACCCAAAACAGAAGAATGCAGCAAACGCCTATCCCCGGCGAGCGGTCTGAGGAGCTCAGTTCCTCCACCATGGTGTCCAGGGGGTAACCCCCAGTAGTCTACAGGGCTACTTACAGGCTTTACAGACCCAGCCCCTGAGTGTCCTGTAACCCCCCACTCCCAAACACTTCATTTGTTTCCTACTTTTCACTGCTAAACAACAAGTACGGAACAGGTGTTATGGGCAAAAGTGTTTAGAATTAAAAAAAAAAAAACCTGCAAAAATCCCTCAGTTCCCTCTCCCAGTTCTGAAAGACAGGCCGGAATGTGTAAAGACTCATCGAAGCATGCAGGACGGCTGTGTAGTACACCAGAGTCTGTTACCCACGGAAAGAGCCCAGTGCCCGGAAGGTTCAGTTTCCTCAAGTTGATCCCATCTGCCCCGAACCAGTTGTTACAGGCTAATCACTGGGAGTGCAGCAAGTCAGGCCCTGGTGAGCAGCAGGGACTGGAAGGTTCTGGGGGCGGCCTGGGAGGGGGCGGAGAAGGAAAAATGGAAGGGGATCCCTGTGAAGGAGGAAGGAAGGATCATTTGCCCCGCTGGGTCTAAAGGAAAGAAGAAGAGGAGCGATGACAGCTCTTAACCGGCCTGCAGGACTCCGCCTGGGCCAGGCCTGTGCCTCTCCTCTGTAGATCTGTGTCGAGGTCTCTGTGTCGCTGTGTTTGTGTGTGTGTGTTCTCTAGCGTAGCATTAGAGGAGTGATGTGTTCTCACTTACCATTCCTAACTATTGTAACTTGTTATTAAAAAAAAAAAAAAAAGACAAAACCCCACAAAATTCCTGCCATGGGCTTGCAGAATGAAGCACTTTCAATGTTGGGCGCTGATGTTTATGTTCTGGGCACCAACCTGACCCTGCCTGGATCACTATAATATTATTTTATACACAAACTTTTTTTCATAAATGTTATAATTTTGTGTCTGTCTTTATAAACTATTATAAGTACTATTTTTGTTATAATTCAAAATAGATATTTAGTATAAAGTTTTTGCTGTTAAATATTTGTTATTTAGTAAAATATGAATTTTTCTCTATTGTAAACATGGTCAAAATATTAATATGTTTTTATCACAGTTGTTTTAATATTGAAAAAGCACTTGTGTGTTTTGTTTTATATGAAACTGGTGCCGTGTGAGTTGTTTTTGCTGTCATGTGGTTTTAGTCTGTATATAATATTCCATGTTACATATTAAAAAGAAATGAATGTTGTGCATTTTGTGATTTTGGAAATACTCAATGTGGCTCTTTTATAGGCTTCCATAATAAACCGTGGGGACTCACCTTTGTCTCTTTTGCCTGTCTGTCTCTGCCTTCCAGCCTCTCTGAAAAGAGCCTCCCTGGCCACTGATGTTCAGGTCAGCAGTGCCCAGGAAGTCCTCACCTAGGACGCCTGTCCTCAGGGGCAGTTGCCTGTTATTTGCGTGGAGCACAGAGGCGTCCATGGCGGGGTCCTGGGAGGAGTCGGTTTGCCTGGGGTGGAAGCAGTGTCACGGGCTGGCCTGCTGCAGAGGGAGGGTTAACTGTGATGTGACTGGCTGGGCCAGGTTGTCTGGGCTAGATACCAAGACCCAGAGCTTTGAGAGCCTGTCCTTGGAGCTCATCTTGTTTAAGCAAGGACACTGTTATCCAGGATTGCCTCGTCTTTCAGTCTGGTACCCCATGCTGGCATTTCTCACGGGTGCTGCAGGATCAAAGAGCTCCCATGGCCAAATATGTTTGGGAAACAGGCGAACCTAAGCTAGGCAGGTTCTTGTACTGCAGGAATTCTCAGAGCCTTGACCCTCAGGATATGTAGTTTAAATGGCAGCGTGTTCTCAGGGAACACAGGTGGTGACATTCCTCAAGCCTATCTGATGATTGAAACCTTGTGGTTTTTGGCCAGCCGTTACACTTTTCCACAGAGGCCCGAGGCAGGGACCAGTGAAGTGCACCACCGCTGGCGTGGAAGCAAGCGGTGTCTACCACAGTTTCAAAGACCCAGGGCTTTGGACGAAGTGAGTAAGAGAGCCTTCTCCCCACCCCATCCCCACCTGCAGCAAGCTGCATGCTAGGAAGAGGAAGGACTGCCAGTGTCCTAGCCTCTGCCATGCCCTGGTCACAGCCTAGGGAGGGAAGGCCCACCCCTGACTAGATTGAGAGAAGGTCTTCTGTGGTTGCAAAATTTCTTTTCAATGTAGTCAGTCAATCAGACCCAAACTCAGCTCAGAGCACCTTGGCCCAGGACCAAGACGCCGCCTCACCCAGGTCACAGAGCCCGGCCACCCGGCATCTGACAGTGCCACAGGGGGCTGGGCAGCAGGCCCTGACTGCCTGTGTCTCTGCTCGGGCTTCTTTCTGCTCCTTCCCCGTCCCCACTGAGACCTAACCCTCACCCTCTACCGCCCCTGGACTAGGTGGGTGGGAGAACTGGAGAGTTCCCTAATTTCCCTAAAAGCAGAATTATAGAATAGCAGCAACATTCCTCACAGAAGTGGAGGGAGGACAGGGTCCGCCCTGCACATGCCCAGCCTCAGTGCCGTCTCAGGCGTCAGCATCAGTGAGAAGCAGCAGCTCTGGGAACCTGCCAGGGAAAGGCAAGAGCTCCTCGGAGCGCAGATTTCAGCTCTCCTGACAAATGGCCTGTGTGGCCAGCAGAGGTGAAGGAAGCACGGTCCCTGGGTCACCCTTGGCCTGACCACCGTGTGGCAGGATGAGCGGGTGGGCAGCTGACCCTGTCATCACCCGTCTGTCCCTGCCTTTCCCCAGTGGGCCCAGCTGGCCAATGATGTCTTCTTGCCTGCCCACCCACCTCCAGCCAGACTTCTGCCCTTGGGATCTCCCGGCCTGGAAGGAGAACACAAGCCGCTGTGGACAAGCAAACACGGACACTGTTTGTCCAGGGACTGGGGCGCCAGTTTGGAGGGAACTCAGAGACCGCACATTCTACCACCTCCCAGCACTTTTCCAAAACAGCCTGGCTTTGGCTGGGCCTGGCTGCCCAGGGTGGCAAGGGGCTGGGAGCCAGGGACACGGCAGGGAGAAGAGGGCCTTGAGGCCAGCAGGGCGAGGTGACCAGGGAAGGGCAGAGAGAGTGCTCTGCCAGCTCCCCTCAGCTTGATGTGCCTTGGAGGATGGGGGAGGAGAGAGAGAGAAGGAAAGGAGATGAGGGAAAGACAGAGAAGGGGGAAAGAGCAGGAGAGAGGGACAGAGACAGAGGCACAGACACCATGTGTGCCTGTATTGGGAGCAAAGGACCAAACTTGATTCACCTCAGAGTGTTGAGGCTCCATTCCTGGTCCCGGTCCTGGGCACTGAGTGTGGCTTAGAAACCTGATGGAGAAAGCAGGCCAGGGCTTTGGTTCAGCTCTTCCACCTCCCACCCCACTTCTTCATCCCCAGAAGCGCTGATCTGGCCCAGGGTTTGGCCTCCCCTGGCCTCACTGACTCTCCGACTCTGGCCTCCCCCATGATACTTTTTCCAATCTCTCCATCCTTGACCTCTCTCTGCAAAGAGGATGCTCTGCTGTATCCCCCAAGCCCTGCTGTTCTACGACTCTGGTCTTCCACCCTGATCCCCCATTCTACACAGCAGGTGAGTGACAGGGGAGCCCAGAAAGGCTCATGAAGTGTGGCTGTGTGACACTCCCCCCACCCCGAAGGAGGCAGGCCTGTGTGGTGGAGGCCGTTTGAGGCACAGGAGGTTTCCTAGGCTGGCAGTAATCATGTGGCCAGGGTGCTGGTCCACCTGAAGGTGCAGGGTCCCTGCAAAAGACCATGGGTTTTCCGGAATGCCTTTCTTGCCTTGCCTGGCATGTATTTGGCATGTGCTGTACCCTTCCTTCTCACAGCTTCTTCCTCTAGGTCTGGGTTAGAGTCCCTGTGATTCAAATATTATGTAGAACACACCAGGTGGGGTGCTCCTCAAGGGCTCACTCATACCCCAGAGCACCCTCCTGCAAAGACTTCTGTTCACCAAGTTTGAGTCACATGCCCACCCCGAGGCAGAAAGATGACTTCCTCTGATTGGTCACCTTGTTGGGAGATGCTGTATAATTTGCAACCCCAGGTAGAGATGGGTCGGCAGTGTGGAAATGGACGGGTGGAACTGAGAATTACCCCAGAGCACAGCTAAGGTGAAAGGGGAGGAGTAACAATGTGGGGGAAGACCAGCGTCATTGAAGTCCCAAGTGGGGAGTCTGGGAGGAGGGTGGGCACTGAGTGACCTTCTAAGATGAAAAGCTCTAAATAGAAGTTGCTGCTTCTTCACGTCACATGATTTGTATTCCTAAAATGAAAACTCCTCCTGTACTGAATCAAACCTGATACTGTGTCTCCCAAGGGCTGCCCCCCTTTTCTCCTCTCATCTTTCTCCCTCTCTCTCTGTCCTTCTCTCTCTTCCTCTCTCTTTTTCTGTGTCTCCCTCTGTCTCCTTCTCCCTCTCTCTGTCTCTCTTTCTACCCCTCCCTCCCATCTCTCTCCTCTCTCTCATTCATATAATTAAATAATTATAGATTCACAAGTTTAAGAAAACACAAGAGAGAGGCTTTGTACTATTCACCAAGTTTCCCCCAAGACTTCTTACACACTTGTAGTCCAATGTCCAAACTAGGAAACTGGTTTTGATACAATGTATACGTATAATTTAATGTCATTCTAGCACCCTAGTGCATCCATAGAGCTCTTGGGGTTAAGAAGTGGGATCATCCAGTGTATAACGATTTGAAATTTCTTTCACCCACACAGCATAATGGCATGTTTTGAAGAGCCATCCAAGTTACCATATGCATCCATGTTTTGTTCCCTTCTGTTGTTGAATAGTATTCCACCAAATGGATATCCCATAGTTTGCCTAACCATTCACTAATTGAAGGACATTTGAGTTGTTTACAGTTTTGGTTCTTACAAGTAAGGCTGTTGTGGAATTTGCAAATAGATTTTTGTGTGGACATTTTTTATTTCTCTGGGATAAGTGCCTAAGAGTGCCTTAGATCATACGGCACGTTGCAGGTTCATTGTTTACGAAACAACCAAACCGTTTTCCAGACTGGCTGTGCCTTTACCCATTCCCACCAACAGTGTATGAGAAATAAGTTCTTCACATCTTAACCAGCAGTTGATACTGTCAGTGTTCTTAGTTTCAGCTCTGCTGACAGTTTCATAGTGGTAACTTATGGTTTGAATTTGCTTTTCAAATGACAAGTGTTGTAGAACATCTTTTCTTGTGTTTATGTGAAGTCTGTAAAGCATCTTGGGTGATATGTTAGGTAGCTTTCTTATGGTGACAAAAATATCTGAGAAAGTCAACTAAAAGGAGGAAAGGTTTATTCTGGCTCATGGTTTCAGAGGGTTCTGCTCATGGTCACGTGGCCGGTTGCTTTCGATCTGAGGTGGAACCTCGATCAAGGCAGGAGTGTGTGGTGGAGAAGGCCAGGGAGTAAAGAGAGGGAAAAGAAGGGTGGGGGTCCCAGGATCTCCTCTAAGGGTGTATGTATCTCCAATGACCTAAACTCCTGCTTTAGGCTCTCACAGCTGCGGTTCCACTACCTCCCAGCACACAGGCCAGAGATCACACCTTTAACACACTGGTCTTTGGCAACATTGAAGTTCCAAACGATAGTGTGGGATAAGAGCATTTCTCTGATTTTCTAGTTGAATTGTTTGACTTTTTTGTTTGTTTGTTTTTTTAACTGCCAGACATTGGGAGTTCTTTATATATTCTAGAAATGAGTTCTTTGATGCGTCTGAAGCTTGCAAATATTTCTTCTCATACTGTTAACAGGGCTTTTCACAGAGCAAAAGTTATAATTTTGATCAGTTCCTATTTATCAGTTTGCCTTTTATTGATTGAAGTTTTGATGTTAAGTCAAAGAACTTTGCTTTACCTTTAAATCCTGAAAATTTTCTCCTATAAGTTTTATAGTTTAATATTTTATAATTAATTTTGTGGGCAATTTTGAGTCAATGTTTGAATGAGATGCAAGGCTTAGGTCAAAGTTCTTTGTTTTTCAACTCTTTTTTCTTTTACTTTACTTTTCTTTTTTTTTTTTTTTGGTTTGTGGATATTATGTTATCCCAGCACCAGTTGATACCACCAGTGACACGACTTGTCCTCCATTACACTGGTTTTGCACCATTGTCAAAGTCAGGATGTAGAGGTACAGTATTCCTCATTTAATGACCCATCTGTTTAACAACTGCTTGCACTTAGGACTGAGGCACACTGTTCAGACTTATTACCCACTGTTCAAATTTACCACCTGCTTTTTTTGTTGCTATTGTTCAGTTCTGTGCATCTTGTTGAT